GTCCTCTTCGGAAGCCGACCTGCTCAGATGGGACCATCTCCTCCCTCTCCGTCAGGTAGGTCATGCGTGCAGACACCATTCGCTCCATCAGCTTCGCCAGGTGTGACGTCAGCGCGATGGGTCGGTAACTTGATGTTAGCTTGGGGTCCTTTCCAGCCTTGGGGATCGGAACGATGACGGCTCTGCGCCAGTCAGCCGGTACCTCTCCCCGCAACCAGGACTGATTGATGACGCGCAGGAGCAGGGCCTTGGCTCTCGGGCCGAGATGCTTCAGATGCTCCGCGCAGATATTGTCTGGTCCGGGGGCTTTCCTATCGCTCATCTTCCTCAGTTGGTTGTTCAGCTCGTTTTCCGTGAAGGGGCCGCAGCAGCCGCCGTCTTCTCTCTGACCCGCGCACGCGGTGCACGGGAGGCGGCTTAGCTGGTTAAGCTCCTGTTTCACGACGCGGTCCCGTTTCCTGTTACGGACCTGTCGACTAACTCTGGAGTAGGTGCGCACGAAGGAGGTCGCCTTCTCCAGGTCCTCCACGGCGAGGCCGCGGTCCCCTTGGAGAGCGTGGCCGGGGCACGCCTGCACCGATCCCTCCATCTTGCGTAGCACCTTCGTGACTCTCCCGATGTTAGTCGGCTTGTTGAGCGTGGTAGAGGCGAACTCACGGAAACTGCGGGTCTTGGCCTCCTCTTCTACCTTGGCGGCCCGACGTTTGGCTTCCAGCCATCTGTCCTTAGCCGCACGGGATCGGTCCTGCTTCATGGCGTCCCTCGCCTCCCGGCGCTCCGCCACCGCCTCGACGAGTTCTGGGTCCAGGGCCCATGGCCGAGGGTCGGCCCGCGCTCCCCGCGGAATTGCGGTGGTGCTCTGGTACAGGAGGACCCGGTTGAATAGTCCCAAGAGCTGCTCCGTGGAGGCGTCTGGCGGCGGTGGGGTCGACTCGAGCACCGTCTCAATGCCAGCGCTGAAGCCGTCCCAGTCTGCCTTATGGAAGGCCCACTTGGTCTTCCTGATGCGTCTCGGCCGGCCCCCATGACATGTGACCTCGATGAGTTGAGGGAGGTGGTCACTGCCGAGATCCTCACCGACAGTCCACTCACACCTCCTGGCCAGGCCACGGTTGCAGGCAGTGACATCCGGGGCCCCCGTGTTGCCTCGATAGTCGGCGTGAGTCGGGGCGCCGGAGTTGAGGGTGTGCCAGTCACCGGACGCGATCCAGTCAGCCAGCCGTTGACCCACGTCGTCCGCGTCGTCACACCGATGATCCCATGAAGGGTGGTGCGCGTTGAAGTCCCCGGTGACTATGCAGTCGCTGTTTGTTCTGAGGGAGAGAGCGAAGTTGTCCACCCGGTCGTCATTCTCACCCGGACGGATGGGCGGCCTGTAGAAGTTGTGTATGTCGATAGACGGTTGACTAGCTTGTTGACTAGAAGAGGGCAGAAACAGTCGAACGCCACACCACTCCGTGACATCGTCAGAGCCGTCGAGCGGGCGGTCCTCAAGCCTTTGGAAGTGAAGTCCGTCCCTGATGTAGATCGCGACGTCTCCTCCTTTCACGGCGCCGTCTGATCTACGCCCGCGCGCTCTCCGGGTGACCGAGGCGGTCTGGAAACCAGGGATGTTGATGGTCTTGTTCGCCGGCATTTGGGCCTCCTGAATCGCCACCACGTCTACCTTCTTGTCCGAGAGCCAGCGTTGAACCTCCAGCAGCTTCCTGCGAAGGCCTTCCGCATTCCAGCTCATGACGAGTAGTCGGCTTCGGACACGGCAGTTTCTACGGTAGCGGCGGTTCTTCTTCGCCCTCCTGCTGCGGCGACCAGCCCCAGCCCTGCCACCCATGGCCCCGCCGCCCACGCCGGCGGCGGGGGGCGCCTGGCTATTCATTCAGCGCGGGCCGGGCCGCTGCGAAGGGCCGGCCATCGGCCCTCCTGTCGCGGCACCCGGTCCCGCTGGTGGGCATCCGCTGCCCCAGGCGTGTCGTTGGAGAAGATGAAATCCGCGACGACGCGGTGGCGCGTCGGCCACCGGCGACCGGCCCCCGAGGGGGCGATCCGGATCCCGTTTGGTTTCCTCGGGCGCTCTCCACGTCCGAGGCGGGGGAGGTCCCCCACACCGCCCACCTCGAGAAGGCGGGATCCATCCAGGCGGCAGGTCACAGGTCAAAGGTCATATGGGTCAAGGTCATGAAATTTTTAGAATAGGTGTAAAATTGATCAATGCGAGGGTACTGAAAGCTTCGTCATGATCGGACGCTTTTTACGCGAGTTATTCGCGAAAACCCTTAGGAGGGGGGGGCTGCATCAACTCCCTCCCCCCCCCCGTGCCGGCGAGGGTTAACTCCTTCTACGACATGGAGAGTCTAAAAAAAAAAAAACACTTGACCATTAGTCCGTTACGTAAGATATGCACTATGCAGCTCTTCGATTGAGTTGGCTATTCGGCTCACTAACAGCACTATTGAAAAGACGGCCGCCGCAATCTTGGCGAAGATCGATTCGCGTTACCAGCTGCACAGACGTGTAATGAATCGTCAAACCAACCAGCCAACAAACTTTGACTATAAATGAACTAGGCCAATTAATTTTACACTCGGACGGCGGTCCTTGTTAGTTAGAGTAGCAAATCAATTCGTCCAGCACCGCCCGCCGGACAGAACGGGATAGAATTAGCGTTGGGGTGTGATGGCTGAGAGAGCCAGTGCAGACTTAGAACCCCTAGCTGGGAGAGGAATTTGTGCAGATGTGAGCATTCATTGCTATATCAGCTTACGAGGGCAGCGCTTTTCGAGGAGCGCTGTGGCCAGAAGGTTTGGACTTTGAATTGTGAAAAACGCCCGCCCGTCGCTATACAGCTTAAACTTCACAAGTATGGATATGATAGAATTACTTATTATGAGGAATGTCCAGATACAAAACTGAAATATAAGATACTATAATTCGCGTGGATGCCATACTAATACTTGTTAAGAAAGGGAGCTGAGTTGGCTTACCAAAAAAGTAACGACTCTATGATCGTTGCTAGAAAAAGCACCCCGGCGTTATTGCACTCTCACACTTACAGCATGTAACGACAAATGTAGGTACCGAAAATGCAACTGGAGCGAGGGGAAACAGAAATTTAAGCAAATACGGTAATTCAAAACGACTAACATTGAACAGTATCATAGTTGCTATGCCGGTGCTCGCCATGTTTACAGGAGAGAGGCCCTGCGTTACCGTTACGTGGCCTGGTGCACAGTCTGCGCACTAAGCACAAAACCACCGCCCTGAGCCAGCAGCCGGCAGCGGCCCGTGGAGAATGGAGAGGCGACAGCTTAACCAAGGCCCCAGCTTTGTGTTATAATACATCAATCGGCTTAGCTGAACCGTTGGCCAACCGGGCAGAAGTTTAATTTCTTTAAAACCTCTCATCAAACGCTTCGCAGAGATGTAATCTGGGCTTGGGACGTCATCAAAAGCTGAATGAGCGTGCAGATCCGGTATGTTTTGATCATTTACCTGGACGACTGTAAGCTCGGATAAGCAATTGTTATTGTGGTACGTAAATGCTGCTCGACTTTTCTGTTGCTTTTCATTAATTCATTGATGCTAAGACACTTGAAATAATTTGGATTTTGATGCTCATTTTAGCGTATAATCTATTATTGGATTGCAAGTGTTCTTCGACTCCATCTTATTTCCGATACAGATAGCGACCGCTTTTTTGTCACCTTCTGACGCACTGTGTTACACACTGCTAACAAGTTTTCTACAATTTGCATTTTGCTTTCATAAGTGGCCATAATATTCCTAGACGGGGCTGCTCAACATCACAAAATTGTCTTTTTCCGCTATTGAAACGAGGCGTTACAGCTACCCTCACATAAGCAATCGGCGCGGGGGGGGGGGGTTGAGGCCATCAACCGATAAGTTCATGTCGTGTAGGTAGGTGCTCAGTTGCTGTCGTGAAGGGTGTTCGGTTGTCGGCTGCAACCATTACCGTTGGCGCATAAACGAAGCACCCAGTTGACAGCAAGTTTGCTCGCGCAGTGTTTACACACTCGAATACCATTCCTTACAGGGAGTACCTATGTACATTCGCTGGCGCCATATTCACTGACGGCGAGGTGGTACATACCATTCCCAGTGACGAACTTATAAATTGCCGATAAGAATTCACTCGACAAATGTCATACGAGCGCCAATGAAGCCTGTGGGAAAATGAGCATAGGATCAATGGTGGGTGGAAGCCAGGTGCTTTCTAGGAGTTGTTTTCTAGCAGTTGCCTGAATGAGATGCCGATCATTGTATTAAACTGGCAACAAATGTGTAAAAAAATGACCTAGAATAAATCCCGAAAGATAATTGCAATTTTTTCAATGATGGTTCAGTGAAACAATGGCAGCAACAATTTTCGTGAATATGGTTACATATCACATGTCGCTGATGGGTTTTGTCACGAATCACCAGCTCCCCGCCACGAGCCCTGCTGACCTCAAGAAGCCGTGTCCTTCAAATCCTTTAGCTTTGGTTCAGGTCCCAGTGTAGTTACGGAATAGATAAATATTACTTTTATGCTGCGAAAGGTCTTCAATTTCATACATTTTGGTCGATGGTCTCAAGCTTATCACGTTTATATTTCTTTGGTTTTTAATTTGGCGCCGTGCTGCGTTGTGGATACACCTCTCGAGCCTTAAAGCTGTTCTTGACCTCATCCAGCTTGCGTGCATGTCGAGCGTGTCGACGACTCCCCTGTATCGGGGCGGCGGTGGTCAATCTGCGCTCGTTTGTCCACACCCCGCTCTCGTTGAGCGTCCAGCGGCGCGCACCGATCCCTCGCTCGGCACAGGCCGCCCCACTCCCTCCCGGCGCGGCCGTCCGCCTGTAATCGTCGCTGCCGACGCGCTAGCCCCGCCCCGTCTCGGCCGACGCGGCCGCTGATTGGCGGAGTCGCTTTATGACGGCGCTCGCCACGGGCCGAGTCAGCAGCGGCGGTGATCGGGCCACCCTTCTGCTGCTGAACCCGGCACGGCTCAGCGACACTGACGGGTGGAAGGGAGGAGAGGAGGCTGAGGGCAGTGGAGCGGACCTGCCGGGAGGAACTTCACTACCGGACTGCCGCGAACGGGTGAGCGGGTGGAGCAGGCATAGTGAACCGAAATAAGTGCTCGGTTTGTCTTCTTAACGTGGGTTACTGTCGCATCTGCACGCTTGCAACAGAAATGCGGTAATGCGATATGGCGAGGAGCTAATGATTGGACCGATGATGCGATTTTTAGAAGTTTTAAATGATTTGTGCTCCAGTAGTAAGAATGGGTAAAGTGAAGGATAAGCAGTAGGTATAATATTTCGCTCAGCAATGGCTAAATAGATAGTGAAGCTCAAAGCAGGCTAACGTGCGTGCCACGCTTCGACTACGGCCTCTCACGTTCTGCTTTAGCGGGGGTCGTTTGAGCAGCTTCTTCACCTATGCCAGTATACCTCATAGTCCACGCAACGAAAAGCATCAACTTTGATTTACAGGCCTTGTTTAGGGCTTGAGGCAGTTACTAAGCCATTTGTCCAGCTTTTTTGGGCGATGCAACATTCCCCGACCTCAGTGGTGGCATGTCCAACAAAACAATGAGCTGAAATAGCTCATCAAAGAGCATCCTTCACTTGGTCTTTATATAGTGTGGTGTTATACCTTATTCTGCTTACTTTTCCGGTCAACCTTCCTCCCGTTATGAGCAAAAGGTCTTGTTATCAATTTCCTTAACCATAAAATCATTAGCTTGAATTTTAGCATGGCGTTTTTTATACATACATTAACGATCTTAAGCACAAACTTCTTAACTGAACAAGAAAAGATCGCGCAAATATATAAAGCAGTCAGATATACAGTTTTGCGGATGTCTTGTACACATAATACATATTCTACACAACATTTAGATTAGCACATCGGCCAAAAGATCAGTAGAAAGACGGGAAAGTGCACACATGTATAATTCCTTTCAAATAGTATGCTCGAACCTCTTCTTATGCATAGTTATATGCCCTAAAATCTCAAGTAAATGACGAAGTACTTGTATGAACAACATTATGACATATGTTTCTTTTAAAGATAGCCTTAAGTTCAATGATTCCGAAAAGCAAAAGGTTCCGAAATTAATAACAAAATGAATATATTTCGGACACGGTCCTTCATCAGTTCAAAATTGCAAATTAAGCCTTGCCTGTGATTATCTTACCTCTGATGGTCTCCCGCTTGATTTGCAATTTTGAACTGATGAAGGACCGTGTCCGAATATATATTAATTTTCTTATAAATTTTGGAACCTTTTGTTTTTCGGAATTATCGAGCATAAGGTTATCTTTAAAAGAAACATAAGCCCTAAAATCTCTTTTGACATCCCATATCGTCAAAGGTATGATGCAATAAGCAATCAGTGGAAACCGGAGAAACTTATAAAAGGTAGTCATGCAAAAGTTACAAGAATGTCTGTCGTCCTTGCAAGCCTCTTAGAGCAAGAGGGGCGTAAAACCTTCTCACATCAAACGCGGGTGATGCTCACTAAACGGTCCCTCTTGTCACCAATAGAATTCGTTCGCCGCCCATTGCGTTGGGCCGCGATCCTGCACTGAGGACTCGGCTGGCGTGGACCACGCACTGGGACCGGGCCGGTCCCGGTCGGCCGATAAAGCCCAGACCCAGACCGGCTCGTCCAGCAGCGGGAACTGGGTAGGTAGACTGTCCCGCAGTGCTCTGGTGTGATGCGGAACAGCTGGCTATGGGAAACACGGCGCCCGCTGTGGGGGCCCGCGACCGCTCAGTGCTCATTCGGTGTGAGCCCGCTGCTGGCGATGCGTGCGTAACTTACAAATGTGTGCGTAAAAAGCAAGATGATCTTAATGTCAAGAGTTTCCTATTAACCCTCGCCGGCCGGGGGGGGGGCGGGTGCCGCCCCCCCCCCATAGGGTTTTTTCGCGATAGCTCCGAACACGCTGGCGATAGAGAGCTGAAACTTGGCATACCTGACCTTTGATCCAAGCCGCATCTTTTGACACCAACCGCATTTTTGGGTCAGGTCAGGTCACTGACCTATGACGTCATAAGTGAACCTCTGCACGGTCTTCAGATGTCGCAACTTCGCAACGCCCTCACTGCCAGAGGAGATGTCACAGGGAAATGAAACTTGCAGGATCTAGTATCCATTGTGAGTCCCACAACTTGTATATCTCGGATTTTTCCTAAAGGTCATATGAGGTCAGGTCATTTTCGTGACCTCACCATTATAAGTCAATGGGGAAAAATGAAAACTGCTATTCTAGCGCCGGGAACGATCTCCAACTATCTCAAGCACACAGAATCGTGATTTTATGCACTCCTTGCAAGGTTAGATGCGTCACTTTTGCAATGTTGACCTTGCGTGACGTCATTTATGACGTCATCAAGGTCATATTAGTTTTTCGTCAATAACTCTTGATCAAATTGAGCTAGCGAGTCGGGAAAGCCACCAATGGACTCAGGAAGACCTGCCGAATCGAATGATATGCGACATGACCTCTTTCGACCAACTTAGTGACCTGGGGGTGCTGACCTGACCTTGACCTGAGGTCAACACCCCAAGTTGACCTGACCCGGACAAAAAGTATATCATTCGACGCGCCTGAGCGAGACGAACACGATGCTGCCAAAATCGGCGCTCTGCGGCCGTTTTTTGCGAAGTTATTCACCAAATACTGAACCGTACCTTGGGGCACTTGACCTGACCTCAGAAGTCACCGGTTGACCTAGGACCTTAAAATCGGGTACCAATCTCTGCGTCTCGTAACGGCGCACACGCTCGTTTTTTCCGCGACGCGCTAGCTCCACCAGGGGCGAAACGGCGAGGGGGGGGGGGTCGTACCCGCCCCCCCCCCCCTCGGCCGCACTATGGTTGGAAACGGCCTCACGGATGGCCGTGGGCAATTTCGGAATATATGTATATTTGGGGTGTCATTCTGTTGGAAATTGATGAAATGTTTTGAATTGGGCAGAAAAAATTATTTAGTTGCGCATTTAGTCTCCATTATTGTACGTGGAATCGGGAGTTTCTGACAGTGACTTTTTTGGTGCGCCGTCAAAGGTTTAAACAACCGCGCTGGTGATAGCATGTGGAGTACCTCCATGACGTTGTAAAACTGGATTATTATATATCAAAATAATCCTTGTTATGTTGGCTATCGAGTGGAGTGACTCTTTTTCCCATGCGTGTTCAAAATCAGGAACGGCATTGCATTCTGTTTGCAGTGTCACCACAGCAATATTTGCAAAATTGCGTTTATGTTTCATTGGACATACAAAAAGTTCTCCATCGACCTCCATTGAGCTTTTTGGCAGAATAAATCGCTGTTCAATTCTGCGTAAGGGGAACGTAAAAGCAGACTGCGCACTTGTGCGCAAAATCGTCCGTGAAGCGTCATCTCCCGAGGCGTACCTACCCGTCGCTTCGTTAGCACCAGGTCGGCTCGTCAGTCTTGCAATCGCTTATCCTTATAAATGATGGTAAGAAGCAGGGTTGCGGAGTCGTGGTGGCGCCAAATCCGACTCCGACTACGACTCCGACTCCTGACTCGTTGCCATGACTCCGGCCGACTCTGTCTCCGACTCCGGACCCCTGCCAGTGTTTCGGAGTCGCGATGGAGCTGTTCCGATTCGGACCGACTCCGACTTCCACTGCGGGCTCCTGACCGACCCCGACTCCGACTCCGACTCCTGGCTCGTTGCCACGACTCTGGGCGACTCTGACTCCGACTCCGACTCCGACTCCGACTCTGACTTCGACTCCGCACCCCTCGTAAGAAGTAACTGCTCGCCCCTGCACCTGGAGTATGAATATCGTGCAAACGTGTATGGATATCCTGGAGTATGGATATGGATATCCACTGACAGAACAGACATACAGACATGCTGTAAACTCCATTACACTGCCAATACCATGGCAAATCAAATGGCTATCTATGGTTTTTGATCATCGTTCTACAGTTTCCAAAATCTTGAACTGAATGTTGGCAATTTCTCGTGACTACTTCACGACCATGACGCATGCATTTCTGAAATTGATCTTTTTTCAACCAGCCACGTACTCGTATGATAAAATGAATGTCACCATCGTGTTCTACGCCCAAAAGTACCCATAAAACATGTGTCATGCATGGGCTGCGGATAGGTACCAGTTTTAATTTTCGGGGTTATGTGCTTACCTGATTGACCTGACTTTGACCCTGGCCAGTGGCCTATGCTTGACTGACCCCTACATTGATCTGACACTCTTTTAGCACTTATATGAAGGGTTGTGACAGTTGTGACAGTTGTGACAGATTGTTTAGGACCAACTGATGACTGAATTTATTTAGGACCAACTGATGACGATATAATCGAAACGCGAAACGCGAGGCACCGATTGCGAGGTTCTAAAGTCCATGCTACTGAAAGCCCGATTTCAAGTGTTTGACCTGACCTTGACCCGACCTGTGACCTCGAAATTCAGCTTTAAAGTATTCATGTGAATCGTCTCGTCGCGTTCTTCTTTCGTTTGCCGCGCCTCGTGCGTTTCGCTGCGCCTATTTGTTCGCGAGTTATCGGCTGGGGGCGTTGAACGCCCCCCCCCCCCCCCGGCAAACGGCGGATGGGGAAATACCCCAGCAACTGCCGGGTTAATCTGACGCATGTTTTGTCATTTGATCGTCATTTTATTTCTTACTTTTTTGCCTAATCTAAAAAAAAATCATAAATACTCTTTCTCCAAATTTGTGACCCTTTATGACCAATAGTAAGACACTGTGCGTCACTACGTTGATATTTCTCGCCCTAAAGCATAACAACAATATCCATTCAGTAATAGCAGTATTCAAAACATGTTCAAAATGCCTCACGATATCGATAACATAACGAAAGACATAGGCGACTTATGACATACTTGCAATGATGACGTCACACACGCGTGACGTGACGTGACCTCGTCATTTCTGAGTTACTGTATGATGCACGAAAGACACTGGTATACCTATGCAAAGTTTCATCGCAGTCGGTCTACGCATTAACAAGTTATGGGCAAAACATTTTTTCGCGTTGACCCCCGGCCATCCGTGAGGCCGTTTCCAACC